AAAGTTAACACATTCATTCTAGCCCAGCAACCAAAAATCAGCATTTGACAACTCTTTGATCGGTCGTCCAAACTGGGTTTATGATCTTGGGGTGTCCACAGCTGCAAACAGCTTACCTTTATAACTGCTACTAATTATCACATTTTTTGGTCATCATGTTCAGGTGACTGGGTCATGGAAAATGTACTGTCACCTCACTCCTCTACAACTTTATTCACACTCACTACTTTATTTTGTCCTCTGTTCGTGCGGAGAGCATGCCGTGGTCCTGAGAACCAGGCAATTCATTATTACAGACTGAATGTACCAGTAGACGCTACCAGTGAAATTAGGTTTGCCCTTTGGGAAAACCATCTATTAGCAGGAGCTACAAATGCAATATTGTTGTCTCACTACGTGTCCTTTTAGAAGTCTCCAGGATCGAACGGGACAGCGGTCATGACTAGAGAAATGTTCACAGAGCAAATGGCTGCAGCAGTCGGACACAGTACTAAGGAAGAATTTGGTGAGCTGTTTGATAAAGTAGATTTGGCTCGAAATGGTTTCATTGACTGGGACAAAATGACCTCATTCATGCTGCTAAGCTTTTATGAGAAAGATGAGCGAATGAATTCAACAGTCATTCCACAGTGGAAGAATCTCCGACTTCTTTCACCTGTCCACAAAGATACTATACAAAACATTACTTATTTGAAAGGCTCCAGCTGTTACCTGACTGCGAGTAGGAATGGTTTGCTGGGAGTCTGGGGAGAGAACTTAAAGCTACAGAGAACTCTGCAGATTACTACAGAAGAAGTCAAGTTGAAAGACCTGTGGGTGACAACAGTGGTTTCACTGGCAAATGTAAGCAAGGTAAAAAGCCTTCTCTTTTACTTGAATAATATGCTGAACTGAGACCACTGAATCTCTCTCATATATGTATAATCCTTCTGCCAAGTGATTAAATGAGCCTTTCAGTTTTATTATTTCAATTAGTTTTATTTTGATTCGTGATATTAACATATAAAATTATATGTTACATCTTCTAGTGCTTTGACATTATCAAAACAAAGTATTTCAGCATCAGAACAAAACAATTCATCATCCAAAACAAATACCTTTCATCAGAACGCAGAAACTTAGGAGTGGAAGGAACATCCCCATTTACAGCCTCCTGATCTGCTTAGGTTGTTTGCACGTGAGACATGTCTGGGCTTCAGAGTTTTGCTGGCCACAAGTTGGAACATTTTTTTCCACTCCCCTTAAATGCATTATATATATACCTTTTTCAGTTTCACTGCCTTTCTCTGAAATACCTGACACTGGCTGCAGAAAGAAATGGGGAAGTGGTTGATCAGCACATTTGGGGTAAGGAAGGAATTTTCCCTTGCCGTAGGTCAAATTGGCAAGGACCTTTGGGTTTTCTATCTTTCTTTTGTATTGTGAGGCACGGTCCAACTCCTAGGGTCATTTGATCATATTTTACTTTGCAGATTTTACACTGGGGACACTCTTGTCTCTCGCTCTTTCTGGGACAGGTTTTAGGTTCTTGCTTCACTGGATGCTTCATGTCTGCAGTGTGCAAGAAGGAACAGAATGGATTTTCTTGAGGATGCTTTTGGAGAAAAGGCTGCCCAAGAATACAGGGGACAATACTGGATGGGAGGTCCCTTCCAGTCTTTTGCAGTAAAACAGATCACATGACAATCATTTTAACAACCTGACCAAGATCCATATTAAAGCTAGTTTTTCCTCCCCCTCTGGCCCTATTGGAAGGCTATTCCAGAACCGTACCGCTTTAAAAGTTAGACATCTTGTAATTTCCAGCCTAAATATACTTATAGGCAGTTTATATATACTTGTTCTTGTGCCAGTGTTCTCTTTTAGCATAAATGGCTCTTCTTCCTCTTTGGGATTTAACCCCTCCACATATAAAGAGCAATTATATTCTCCCTTAGCCTTTATTTTCGTAAGCTAGCTAACCCCAGTTCTTTTAGGCTCCTTTTGCAAGATAGACTCACCATTCTCCTCATCATCCTAGTAGCTCTTCTTTGCACTTGTTCCATTTTGAAGTTTCCTTTCTTTAAAATGGGTGACCAGAATTGAATGCATTATTCCAGATGAAGAATTCCTTCTGGTGCATTGTACAACCATATCAAAGCTTCCTTGACTAGAAATAGAATACTACCACCCATAAAATTGCAGAAGTTTTCAATTTATTTCAAAAGGATTTCAGGAGTTCCATATCAAAATCTTTATGGACTTTTCATTCTACAGGAAAATTCGCATCCTCCCATCCCCCAACGTTTTCCATAGAAAGAAAATGTAATTTTCGAGCCTCATCCTTGAAGGCAGAGTTCTGTCTACTTGGTCATATGTTTTTTTTGCTACAAAGTCAGGGCTTAAGTATTTTAGCTCATATTAACTAGTTTTAACTGATTTTAAGTAGAGATGGACAGATCACATTCAGTAAATTAAATTTTTTTCCTTGAAGACTGGCCTGCTTTTCTGTCAAGACATTGTCAGAACACATCATGCATGTCTCCCATTTAAATGCTATTTAAAAGGAAACAATTCACTGGGTTATTTTGACAAATAAACCTTGTTCCTGTGCTCCCTTGCCTGCAGGTCACTGTGACTATTTGACATT